ACTGCATGCAGTATTCCAAGTGTGGCCTTACCAAGGCCTTGTAAAGTGTTATTAACACTTCACGTGATCTTGATTCTATCCCTCTGTTAATACAGCCCAGCACTGTGTTGGCTTTTTTGGCAGCTGCAGCACACGGCTGGCTCATATTTAAATGATTGTCCACTAGGACTCCGAGATCCCTGTGAATCACTGCAGTTGCTCAGTTAGTAACACGGTGGTGTTAAGTGATTCTGGCTTCGCCGTTGATTTTGGCTTCTCAGAAGGCGATCCCATGACCCCGGGGGTCACTGCAACCGTCATAAATACGAGTCGGGTGCCAAGCGTCTGAATTTTGATCACAAGACCACGGCGAGGCTGCGACGGTCGCAAGTGTGAGGAACGGGCAACGGTCCCTTTTTTCCCAATGGTTTTTGCAACTCCAAACGGTCACTAAGCAAACGCTTGTAAGTTGAGGACCACCTCTATCAAGGGTCTATTTGGCATTTTGCACCCCGTAAAATCACGACACGCCTTTTTTTTTTCCAAACGTAAAATTTTATTAAGAAATCAAAATATTAACAAATCCGGTTGTATTTGTACATGCGGCTTCATCACATCAAAGCAACACAGATCTTGTCTCACACACACACACACACGCACACCCCGGGTGTACCTGCCATAAATAACATTCCCCTATGCTGCAGGTACCTATACATTTAAAAAGAAAAAGAAAGAAAAAAAGAAAAAGAACAAAGCAAAGGTCTGGATTTTCTCATAAATAGAGATCCGTGCCTCTCAAACAAAAATTGGGCAGAAATCTTCCGCTAAGTCTGAAAAAGGGAGTGGCCTTCCCTCCCCCCTTCTCGTGGGGAGGGAAAATCACAAATTAAAATTTCACAATTCTGCACGTTAACTGATCCAAAGTACACGGAACTTCTTTTTTCTTAAAGGCCGGACCTGCCTATCGGATTGTTTGAACAATTAATCTCCCCAGAGAAGAATAATGCACAGTCCAATATTGAGATCGGATAATAAAAATGGTGCCACGTCATGGGTTTGGGGTTTTTTTTGCACACAACTGTGTAACCACCCGTAGCTCTTTCACACTCGCGAGACTCACGGTCTCCGCACGCCGCTCACAATCGTGCATGTCGTCTCCACCCCAAACGGTCATTAAAGTTGGTTTGTGGTCATTAAAGTTGGGGGAGGGCGTCAAAGCACTTGTTCCCTCTTCCAATGGCCCGCTTCAAAAATTACCTACATTCGGGGTTTTTTGTGTGTGTGTGTGTGTCTGAAATACAGAAGTTGGGCTTTAAAGCAGGGGTGTGTCCCACCTTGGCACCTTTTCAGATTTGTGGACTTCAACTCCACAGTTCCTGAATTTTGCCAGCTGCTGTAGCTACGTGAGACACCCTGAAAGGGACAGAAGCCAACGTCATAATGCAGCCCTCAAGAGAAGTTAAGAGATCCTGGTTGCTCAGCTCCTGGCCGGGCCTGCAGCTGAGCACTGGACTCCCATTGCTAAAAGATGTGTCTTGAGCATGTACAAAGTTCTCCCCATCTCTGGGCCCAGTGGGTGGCACGTCTTGAGCGAACGCAGTCTTCTGAAGGAATGAGAAGGGAGAGGACGGAGACAATGGACACCGGCAGAAAGGATGGCCTTGGGGAGTCCAGGGCAATGAAGAGGGAGAGTTAAAGATTGCAAACAGATCCAGAGGTTGCTTAAGATCACCCCTTCCCCATCCTCAGCTTTGACCCCCCCCAATCCCACAACTGAACCCCAAGCTCAGCTGCAGCCGATTTCCAGCAGTATGACTCTAAAAATGCCCTGGTTAAGAGGGGAGGGTGGGTGTCACTTGATCCTTGCACACAGCTCCCCCCCGCCCCAATTTTGCAATTCCAGCAAGGCCACTCCTTGGACACCCTCCCACCCACCCATTTTTGCAATGCCTCCAAGGTCACTCCTATGATACACACACACACACACACCCCACCATCACCACCAATCCATCTCCCCGGCCAGCATCTGTCTAGATCTGCTGCGTTTCAGAAGCCCCTTTCGCAAGACCGGGAAACGCCCAGAATTTCAGACCACACCTCGGCCATGAAACTCGGCTTTGTAACTTGGGCAATAATGTCCCTCTTTGTGCCCGGGGTTCTCCGTCAAACAGCCTGGCCTGGCCCCCCGTTTGGAGAGTCAGGCCCCGGAGAGGAAGTATTTATCAGCGTTCATCCATCACTTGGGCGGCAGCCTCTCAAGGTTTATTTGCAGGAGGGGTGGTGGTGGAAAGGACCGGAGGGTCCAAACTGTTTGTTCTGAAGTGGGACAGCCCTGTTTGGGAATGTGGGCCTCTATCACAACCTTCTCGAGCAAGCAGGGATCGGGGCCCCTCCAAGAAGCCAAGCCCAAAGTTGGATTCAACTACAAATGTCGTCAGTCTGCATTTGACATAGTTGAGAACTCCGCCATGGTCAAATACACAGAATGGTCTTGCGAGAGGAGACCCATGACTCTCTGCAGTGTTGGTTTTACTGGTGCCTGGCTGTATTTTGTGCTTTACGTGTCATTGTATCTTGCAGGAGTAGGCTCCTAATCCAATGGGGTCTGGGACAATTCGCCCTGGCCAACTCATCATGGCCAACTCGTCATGGCCATCATGGCCAACTCGCCCTGGCCAACTCATCACAGCCAACTCGTCACGGCCAACTCGCCATGGTCAACTCGCCCTGGCCAACTCATCACGGCCAACTTGCCACAGCCAACTCATCATGGTCAACTCACCACGGCCAACTCATCACAGCCAAGTCACCATGTCCAACTCACCATGACCAACTCATCACGGCCAACTCACCATGGTCAATTCACCATGGCCAACTCATCATGGCCAACTCGCCACGGCCAACTCACCATGGCCAACTCATCATGGCTTCTGCTTCCCCAACCCTCATGGAGATTCAAGGGGAGATCATTTTGAGAAGGTGGGAAGTAAGAAGTCCTCAGCAGAGAGGTTGAAGAGCCTGTCCACTTAAGCTTCTCCTTGCCACTCATTGGGCGAATTTGCCTGGCTGGAAGGTAGACTGGGGCAGGCAGTAATCCATGCAACCTGAGGTTCTCCAGATGTTGCCCAACGGTGAGGACCTCTGAGACTTAGAGCTCAATGTCTGAAGTTCTCCTTTCCTTGATAGACCTATGCCTGCGCATAGGCCGAAACATCTACACAGGCTTTGATGAGTACGTTGGCACCACAACTCTGCTAGGTAGGACTCAACCATGTTCACCTTCTCAGCCAATTAACCAACCAAACCCTGGTCCTCCCCTTCTGATGGCAATAGAAGCTTCTCCGTTGCCGTGAGAAGGCCAAGTTAATCTTCTTCACAAGGGGCCTTTTAGCCATGTGTGCCTTGAACAAACTGAGGCTTCGTGTATCACATTGCCAAATCCGAACCCACAATTGGTGATCTCCCCTCTACGACGGCTCTCATCTCAACTGTATTCCTGCATCTACCAAATGTGTGGGCAACTCCAGCCCAAGAAGAGGACAATGATTGGTCCTCAGAAAGAGATAGACTAGGCCAGGGGTCTTCAAACTTGGCCCTTTGATGATTCGTGGACTTCAACTCCCAGAATTCCTCAGCCAGGCACGAGTCATCAAAAGGGCCAAGTTTGAAGACCCCTGCTTGTGGACTTCAACTCCCAGAATTCCTCAGCCAGGCACGCTGGCTGAGGAATTCTGGGAGTTGAAGTCCACAAGTCATCAAAGGGCCAAGTTTGAAGACCCCTGTCTTAAATCTAACAAACAAAATGGAGGCTGGCTGAGGAATTCTGGGAGTTGAAGTCCACAAGTCATCAAAGGGCCAAGTTTGAAGACCCCTGGACTAGGGTTAGGGGAAAACATGGGCCTACAGCAGAACAAGGGGATCTAGAGGTTTTACCAACGGAAGAGATTTAACCACTGTACCTTATTTATTTTTTTCCAACAAAATTAATGGAGCAAAGCATAGACTAGTCCAGGGTTAGGAAACCTTGGCTCTTTTATGACTGGTGGACTTCAACTCCCAGAATTCCTGAGCCAGCCACGCTGAGGGGAAAGGGAGAGGTTTCCAAGCTGAGCCATGCTGGCTCAGGAATTCTGGGAGTTGAAGTCCACCAGTCATAAAAGAGCCAAGGTTGCCTACCCCTGGACTAGGGGTCCCAACCCCTGGGCCACAGCCAGGTGGCAGGCTGTGACCTGTATGGAACTGTGCTGCACAAGTAGCGGGCAAGCGTGCTTGTGCTCACACAGCTCCATTTGTATGAGCGGCGGATGCGTGTGCTCGCACCGCCCAATTTGTGCGAGCGGCATGTGTACGTGCGCTTGCCACTTGCGCCAATGGAGCTGCACACGTGGAACCACCTCTCTCTCCCCCCTCCTACTACCACTGATCCACAAAGCCGGGAGAGTTGAGGACCACTAATTGCCTAGATTGCAATTAGGTATTTTTAAGTTTGCAGAGATTTGAGTGACAGTTTCTCTGCTGAGTGGAGTGGGGGCGTATAAGCTGGCAGGGTGGATACTACCTCCCCCCCCAAAAAAAGTTCTCTACTCAAAGAAGCAAATCTACACAACACACTATCCGGGGATGGCCCCAAAACGCACGTCGGGATCTTATTGATCTCTTTTTTTCCCTTAGTTTTGTTTTTTTTAAATTCAGCTTTGGAAATGCACCCGTTATCTTCACACCCTCACGCATACGCGCAAACACACACACACCTTCACAAAGCTAGAAATAAATGTCTTAGCTTTAGGACCAGCCTCCAGCTGTCAAGCACATCACAAAAAAGAGCACAAATAAAGGAAGGTATAACCTACTCCACTGTCCAACGTGGGGTAAAATATCCTTCATCTGGCCGATTCCCTATCTGTTCAAGTTTTTTTTTTTTCCGTATTCTTCAAAAGCCCCACAGGGGAACAAATAATATATGGACCCCCCCCCAAAAAAAGACTCCTATTTTCCAATTGTTTCAACAATTCCCTCCCCCTTTCCCATCGGTCAATGTCGCCCTGCTTTCTTTCAACTTCATTAGAAGAGGGGAGAAAATTTTCCACCAGGATCTTGGGGGTCTCCTGGCAATCTTCCTCCATGACCAAAACTGGGGGGAGCTAAAGGATGTTGGCTTTCTTGGAGCAGGACAAATGTTTATGGACCAACTCCCACATGTTGAGCAGGTCGGGCGGCTGAAGTTTATGGACCACCAACATGCTTTTGTAGAAACAGGGTTCCCGGTTCATTTTGCTGTTCTTGTTCTTCACCAGGCCGAAGGTTTTGAAGCCGGTGTGAGCCACGGGGGCCACCTGGAGGTCCTCGAGACACATCCCCAGGTAGACGTCGTCGATGGGGTACAGCTCCCGGTTTTCGGAGGCTTTGTGGAGACGCTTGGCCAAGGGGCCGTCCATCACGAAGCCCCCTCCGCCCGCGTAGGGTGGGTAGTACGTCTTGCTGTACAAAGAGTTGGGGATGTAGTACTTGTTTTCCTTCTTGCGAATGGGCCTCGCCTTGACCAGGACGTCGCCCACGAAGAGGTCCCCTCCTTTCTGATCCTTGAGGAACTCCAAGATGTTCTCGGGACTCATGAAGACATCGTCGTCCCCTTTGAAGACGTACCGGACCTGGTGGCAGTAGATGTTGAACCACTTGAGGAAATGAATTTCCTTCAAGGTGAGGTTGAAAAAGGTATCCAGGAAGTCCCACTGCAGGATGTCGCCGTAGATCCGATCCTCGTACTCCAAAAGCTTCTGGTAGTTGGGCCGCTCCTCTTCTTTGGAGGCAATGCCCAACAGGAAGAGGGTCTTGATTTTTTTCCCACCCAGCACTCGCTCTTGACCCCACGTCCGACGGATGGCTTCCCGGCGATCGTGCTGCGTTATGACGGACTTCACCACAATGAGCAGGTCGATCTCGCTGCTGCACTTCTCCGGGTGGTGGATGAGGATGGGGAAGTAACGACAGTGACGGTAGAAGAGAAACTGCTGGAAATGGGGCTCCAGGCTTTTGAACCAATCCTCCTTGGTGAAGTTGAGGTTGGCCGTGCAGTTGGTGGTCGTGACGTCCCAGGACGTCACCGCCTTCTCGGTTGGTTTGACGGCGGGCGGAGGGACGTTCACCGCCTTTTTCCAGAAATTGTTGGTGAGGGACATCACCTCATCCCTCTTCTGATTTTTGATGGTTTTCTCTTGGGAGAAAGGGGATTTCTGAGGCTGGCTCTGAAAGAACTGGTTGGGAACGCTGCCTTTTTGCAACAGCATCACCGTCACTACCAGCGCGAAGGAGAGAAGGACGCTCTTGTAGATGGTCTTCTTCCTGGGGTGAGGAAAACAGAGAGGAAAGAATTGAGGTAAACATCTACCCAAATGTCGTTGCAAAGGTAGAATCCTAGCGCTGGAAGGGACCTCTGAGGTCTTCTAGCCCAACCCCCTGCTCAAGGCAGAAGGCCTTATACCAGGGGTAGGCAACCTCGGCTCTTTTATGACTGGTGGACCCACCCAGAATTCCTGAGTCAGCATGGCTCAGCTTGGAAACCTCTCCTTTTCCCCTCAGCATGGCTGGCTCAGGAATTCTGGGAGTCGAAGTCCACGAGTCATAAAAGAGCCAAGGTTCCCCATCCCTGATCAAAACCAGGGGTGAGCAACTACAGTCCTGTAGACTTCAACTCCCAGAATTCCTCAGCCAGCGTGGGGGAACTATGGCCCCTTCATGACTGGTGGACTTCAACTCCCAGAATTCCTGAGTCAGTGTGGGGGAACTATGGCCCCCATGACTCATGGACTTCAACTCCCAGAATTCCTGAGCCAGCACAGGAGAACTATGGCCCCTTCATGACTGGTGGACTTCAACTCCCAGAATTCCTCAGCCAGCGTGGGGGAACTATGGCCCCTTCATGACTTGCGGACTTCAACTCCCAGAATTCCTCAGCCAGCACGGCTCAGCTTGGAAACCTCTCCCTTTCCCCTCAGCATGGCTGGCTTAGGAATTCTGGGAGTTGAAGTCCGCGAGTCATAAAAGAGCCAAGGTTGCGTACCGCTGCCTTATACCATCCCAGTCAAATGGCTCTCCACTCTATTTTTTGAAAAACTTCAGTGATTGGTGAAATGTTGGACAGGGCCAAGAGGACGCGGATCATAAAATCCCACTCCCCCTTCCCAGTTTGGTGAAATTTTTCAGCCATTTTGCGTTGTTTTTCTTAGGAGGTTGAAGACGTGAAGGTATAATAGGGATAAATATTTGCAAACACACACCCCCCAGATACGACCCCAGGCCTTTCATCCATGGATTGAAAAGGGAGGAAGATTCACCATCTTGTCCTCAAACAGTGTTGGTTCCAACAATGGGGGCCTCCCAAGAGCCAGCACAGGGGTGTACTTGCCTCTGCAAGCAGACACCACTATAGCGATATTTGAAGGGCTGCCCCAAAGAAGAGGGAGTCAAGCTATTCTCCAAAGCGCCTGAAGGCAGGACAAGAAGCAACGGATGGAAACTCATCAAGGGGAGAAGCAACCTGGAACTAAGGAGAAACTTCCTGACATTGAGAACAATTAACCAGTGGAACGGCTTGCCACCAGAAGTTGTGGGTGCTCCAACACTGGAGGTTTTTAAGAAGAGATTGGGCAACCATTTGACTGAGATGGGATAAGGTCTCCTACTTGAGCAGGGGTTTGGACTAGAAGACCTCCAAGGTCCTAGGATCCTAGGATTCTTGGATGGATGGATGGATGGATGGATGGATGGATGGGAGGGAGGGAGGGAGGGAGGGAGGGAGGGAGGGAGGAAGGAAGGAAGGAAGGAAGGAAGGAAGGAAGGAAGGAAGGAAGGAAGGAAGGAAGGAAGGAAGGAAGGAAGGAAGGAAGGAAGGAAGGACGGAGAGGCAATGGGTAGAAGCTCCTCAGAGGGAGATCAAACCTAGAATCAAGGAAGAATTTCCCTGCAGTGAGAAATTAATCAGTGGAACGTCTTGCCACCAGAAGTTGTGAATGCTCCAACACTGGAGCTTTTCAAGAAGAGATTGGGCAACCATTTGACCGAGATGGGATAAGGTCTCCTACTTGAGCAGGGTGTTGGACTAGAAGACCTCCAAGAATTCTAAGATGGATGGATGGGAGGGAGGGAGGGAGGGAGGGTGGGAGGAAGGAGGAAGGAAGAAAAGAAAGAAGGAAGGAGGGAAGGAAGGAAGGAGGGAAGGAAGGAAAGAAGGAAAGGAAGGAAGAAAGGATGGAAGGAAAGGAAGAAAGGAAGGAAAGAATGGAAGGAAGGAAGAAAGGATGGAAGGAAGGAAGGAAAGGAAAGGAAAGGAAAGGAAAGGAATGACCCGCATAGGATCTCCTGCTTCAGCAGGGGTTGGACTAGAAGACCTCCACGGCCCCTTCCAACTCTGCCATTCTGTCACAGCGGTAAATTAAACCCAGCACAGCTGGAGGAACTGCCAGGCCCACAAGGCAAACGGTAAGATCTTCTTTCGACAACGGATCAGACCCACAATCTGCAAACTGCAAACGTCCCCCTTGAAAGACACTCCGCCAATGGCAGCCACTGTCTTCGGCCTCCGAGACTGACGCCCTCCACCCAGCTGGCACCTTGCCCCAGCCGGTCCAATTTCCTCCCGGATTCCGGCTAGCTCCCCCATCAATCGCAAAGGGGGACAAAGGACAGTCAAGCTTCTGTTTGCAGCCTGGGGCTTTTCCGCAAATAGAGGGAGGCCTGTTTCCTAGCGGGCAGCCCCCCCCCCGGTCACCCCCACCATGCCGGGCAAGAGAAGAAAAAAAGGCAGGGAAAGGGTGTGTTTTTTTCAGCCGGGGAGTCCAGATTGTGCAGGTAAGATTAGCAACGCAAGCGTGCCCACTTAGCCAAGTGCATTTCCCCCTTTCATTCCGGAATATAGACTCAAACAAACTGGAAGGGGGCCTTGGAGGTCTTCTAGTCCAACCCCCAGCTGGGGAATCCTGAGATATGAAAGTCCACACATCTTAAAGTGGCTAAGGTTGAGAAATATGGCCTTAGAGCAGGGGTCTCTTCAAACCTGGCCCCCTCATGACTGGTGGACTTCAACTCCCAGAATTCCTCAGCCAGCATGGGGGAACTATGGCCCCTTCATCTGGTGGACTTCAACTCCCAGAATTCCTGAGCCAGCATGGGGAACCAAAGCCCCCTTCATGACTTGTGGACTTGAACTCGCAGGATTCCTCAGCCAGCGTGGGGGAACTATGGCCCCTTCATGACTGGCGGACTTCAACTCCCAGAATTCCTCAGCCAGCATGGGGGAACTATGGCCCCTTCATGACTNTTGACTCCCTCTTCTTTGGGGCAGCCCCTGAGATACTGGAACACTGCTATCATGTCCCCCCTCGTCCTTCTCTTCGTTAAACTAGACATACCCAATTCCAGCAACCGTTCCTTATATGTTTTAGCCTCCAGTCCCCTAATCATCTTTGTTGCTCTTCTCTGTACTCTTTCTAGAGTCTCAACATCTTTTTTACATCGTGATGACCAAAAATGGATGCAGGATTCCAAGTGTGGCCTTACCAAGGCATTGTAAAGTGGTATTAACACTTCACGTGATCTTGATTCTATCCTTCTGTTAATGCAGCCCAGCACTGTGTTGGCTTTTTTGGCAGCTGCAGCACACGGCTGGCTCATATTTAAGTGATTGTCCACTAGGACTCCGAGGTCCCTCTCACAGTTACTACTATAAAGTCGGAAGGTACCCTGGAGATCATCTAACCCCCTGCTCAGGCAGGAAGTTAGTATTAGTTTGTGACTGCTGGGTGTTTTGACACACAGCGCAAGGGGGGGGGCAACACTTACAATGGCTGGAAGTGCATTACCAATTGTAAAGTAACCTTTCCGAGGTCATCATCAAACGGCCGGTCAAAGACTACTGGTACAATAGCCTCTCTTCCCAATGACTTGCCCCTTTTCATGTAGTCCTTGACTTACAACAGTCCATTTAGTGACCGTTCGAAGTTACAACGGCACTGAAAAAAGTTACCTAGGACCGTTTTTCACACTTACGATCACGGTCACGCGATCAAAATTTGGGGTTCATACTTATGACAGGTTGCAGCATCCCAGGGGTCACGCGATCCCCTTTTGCGACCGTCTGACATGCAAAGCCAGGTGAAGCCAGGTGAATTTAACATCTGGAGGGGTGTCCATCAGCTGGGATAACAGAAGTATACAAACACTTAATTTTTTTCCCTATTGATTTAGTTGCCAGCTAAGGCAATCCTGTGTTGTATAAACAGAGGCATAGAATCAAGATCATGTGAGATATTAGTACCGCTTTATAAAGCCCTAGTAAGGCCACACCTGGAATACTGCAGCCAATTTTGGTCACCATATCACAAAAAAGATGTTGAGAGTTTGAAAAAAAGTTCAGAGAAGAGCAACTAAGATGATCAAAAGTCTGGAGACTAAAACATACAAAGAACGGTTGCGGGATTTGGGTCTGGCTAGTCTAAAGAAAAGAAGGATTGGGGGCAACATGATAGCAGTCTTCTAATATTTGGGGGGCTGCCCCAGAGAAGAGGGGGTCCACCTATTCTCCAAGGCCCCTAAAGGCAGGACAAGAAGCAACAGATGGAAACTAATCAAGGAGAGAAACAACCTGGAATTAAGGAGAGACTTCCTAACAGTGAGGACAATTAACCGGTGGAACTGCTTGCCTCCAGAAATTGTGGGGGGTCAAACACTGGAGGTTTTTAAGAAGAGGTTGGATAGCCATTTGTCTGAAATGGTTTAGGTCTGTTGCTTGAGCAGGGGGTTGGACTAGAAGACCTCCAAGGTCCCTTCCACTTCTATTCTATATTATATTTATTTGTTCCTTCACCATCTCATCAATTTCCTACGGAAACCATGATGACGTGGCTTGATTCCTTCCGTCTTATTAGCACAGGGAGACTTCTGATTGTGTAGAGCAGGGGTCCCCAACCTTGGCTACTTTAAGACCTGTGGACTTCAACTCCCAGAATTCCCCAGCCAGAGACCCCCGGCGTGGAGGGAGGCCCAGCTGCCCACAGGCCATTTCCAAAACCTTCATTTCATTTGCACACCATGCAGACAGGGCAGCGAGCATGCGCACGAGGCTCTCAGTGACGGCAGTGCCTGTGTGAGGCTTGTGGCGCTGGCGCTGCCAGGCCCGCACCGATGCCACTCCGGTGCGTGGATCGTGCCATTGCCCCCTGCGAGGATCATGCTGTGGCCTGCAGAGATGCTGCCCCGGAGAGAGGATTGCACCGCCACCCCGTGCAAGGATCGTTCCGCAGCCCACTGCGATGCCACCCAGACACGAGACTCGCGCCGCAGCCTGCCTGCCACTTACAGTGCTGCCACTGCCCATACAAGGTTCGTGGCAATACCGCCACCCACACAATACTAGTGGCGCTGCCACTGCCTGCACAACACTCACATCAACAGTGGCACCAGGGGAGTGAGCACGCGAAAAGGCTGCGGCCCACAGGTTGGGTACCTCTGCTTTGGAACTTGAAAAAAATCAACTAGCATGGCTCCTCAGCAACTTAGCTATCTCTTAGATCAGAGGGCCCCAACACATAGGCTGCAGCCCACCACTGGGCCGCGGCCTTTTGGTCACCGGGCCATGTAAGTGGCTGACCAGTGCGTGCGCGCAAGCACACACACTGACTTTCCCCTCGTGCTGGCACTAGCCTCGGCGTGAACATTGCAGTGATTCTCGTGCCGGTGCGACCCTTGCAGTGATTCTTGTGCTGGCGCTATCCTCGGTGTGACCCTTGTGCTTGTGCTAGCCTCAGTGCAACCCTCACACCAGTGCTTGCAGCCCCATTGACAGAGCACACATGCTCACGGCCCTGTTTGCGCCTACGCTCACACAGCTACATGTGGGTGCGTGTGCATGCGCCTGTAAAGGTCTGTCCCTCCCTCTCCCACCGGGCCACCAACCCAGATTTAGAGGGGAGAAGATGACCCTCATTGAATTCAGGGATAATAAAAGCGCACCACGCCTTTGCTGAACATAAGTTGGCAAACCAAATACTGGGACAACCAGCTCCATTCTTACAGCATAAAGGGGTACCAATCAGGGGAACCAAGGACCATCTCATACAAGGCATGTTTATGCCCGTCCTGTGTCACAGAGCCAAACGTGGATGCTTACAACGAAACACAAGCGAAAGTCAGTCACCATGGAAGTGAGGTGTTTGAGGATGGTTGCTGGAGGGAACCCGAGAAACCAGACTGTCAGAGAAAGGATTCACATAGAATGAATCTGAAACCTTATACAAAAACCACAAATCGAGTGGTTTGCTCACCTGGATGTGGTGGGATTGCATACCTTACAAGACATGTACAAAAAGAGGAGGAGGAGGAGGAGGAGGAGGAGGAGGAGGAGGAGGAAAGGGGAGAATAAGGGAAGGGGAAGAATAAGGGAAGGAGAAGGAGAATATATATATATGTGTGTGTGTGTGTGTATTTGTTTTCGTAGATTTTCACGGGTACAGGTATGCAGGTCTTGGCGTATTCGGGTCTTTTCCCGTGTAAGATTGAGAGTATCTTGGCGACGTTTCGACGAGGTCCCACTCGTCATCTTCAGGCTGGGGTCTTCGGCTTCGTGCTTGTGTGAGCAAAGTGTGATCGGAGCTGCCGTCTCTCTATAAATATTGATGGGGTGTGTGTGGAGTGCTGGCTTAGTTGCTGTAGGTGGGTTGGTTGGCTGTGTAGGAGTTATTGTTTGCGGAGGATGTTACGAAACAGCCGAACAATCCGCAAACAATAACTCCTACACAGCCAACCAACCCACCTACAGCAACTAAGCCAGCACTCCACGCACCCCCACCAATATTTATAGAGAGACGGCAGCTCCGATCACACTTTGCTCACACAAGCACGAAGCCGAAGACCCTAGCCTGAAGATGACGAGTGGGACCTGGTCGAAACGTCACCAAGATACTCTCAATCTTACAGGGGAAAAGACCCGAATACACCAAGACCTGCATAGATATGTATATATATATATATATATATATATATATATATATATATATATATATATATATATATANGTCTACCAAATATAAATCAGTCTGTTCTGCCTTTTGCTCCAATCTAGGAGCATGTTTTTGCAGGCAGACTTCACATACTGTGAACATTATAAATTCAAAATTGTGTGGCTGACAAAGAGTTAGTGGGAGACTAGTATAGCTATTTCAGGGTCATTTGCCCTCATCAGCTAGTCACACCCTTCAGGGATGTTGCCTAACATGCAAGCTGCCCAGGTTCAAATCCCTGAAGGGTGTGACTAGCTGATGAGGGCAAATGACCCTGAAATAGCTATACTAGTCTCCCACTAACTCTTTGTCAGACACAAAATTTTGAATATATATATATATATGGAATGCAAGGCCATGCCACGTGGGGAGGGAAGCCTACTCTGCGCATGGCTAGAGGCACTCCCAACTTTTGCATAGTCATAAAAGTTCTCCCATCTTCCGACACGCCGCAGCTCAAGCAAACTTGAGCCAATTCAGCCACGTTTATGAACGCCGGGTTCCATACATTATTCTCCATGATACGACGAGGAAACCGCCTTGTCTATCACGGGGAATTAATTTATTGAATCCGGCTTTCAAAACACCTGAGTAGTTATGCACAGAAAAGCTCTAGAATAAACAAAGGTCACAAAAAACTAGGTGAGGAGTGTCAAGCATGAATCAAACCACTTAAGAATATTATTTTAATTTCAGGCCTCAGTTACCGCAACCGACTTTTCCGACTGACTGGAAACTGTGCCGCGAGGTTTGACTTCCTAACAGGGAGAGTCCTCAATTTAACGACCACAGCTGAGTCCAAAATTTATGTTGCTAAGTGAGACATTTGTTAAGGGAGCGTTGCCCCCTTTTACGACCTTTCTCGCCACAATTGTTAAGTGAATCACTGCCATTGTTAAGTTAGTAAGATGGTCGTTAAATGAAGCTAGCTTCCCCCACTGGCTTTGTGTGTCAGGTCACAAAAAGGGGATCACTTGATTCTTCCCCGGGACACTGCGACCGTCATAAATATAAGCCAGTTGCCAAGCGTCTGAATTTTGAATAAATATAGAATAGAATAAATATAGAATAGAATAAAAATAGAATAGAATAGAATAGAATAGAATAGAATAGAATATAGAATAGAACAGAATAGAATAGAATAGAAAAAATATAGAATAGAAAAAATAGAATAGAATAGAATATAGAATAGAATAAATATAGAATAGAATAGAAAAAATAGAATAGAATAGAATAGAATAAATACAGAATAGAATAGTAGAATAAATATAGAATAGAATAAAAATAGAATAGAATAAATATAGAATAGAATAGAATATAGAATATAGAATAGAATAGAATAGAATAGAATAGAATAGAATAAATATAGAATAGAATAGAATAAATATAGAATAGAATAGAATAGAATAGAATCTGGAAGGGACCTTTGAGGTCTTCTAGTCCAGCCCCACCCCCCTCAAGCAGGAGAACCTATATACCCTCTCAGACAAGGGACTGTCCTGTCTCTTCTTAAAAACCTGCAGTGAAAAACGTCGTAAGTGTGAAAAACGGTTCCAAGTCGCTTTTTCCCCACTGTCATCTTAACTTCGAACAGCCACTCCATGACCCTGTCGTAATTCGAGGAGGACCTGCGCGAGGAAATCAGGAGAGGTTTGAGACGAGGAGCGTGAAACGAAACTTAAACGTGTGCGGTTTAAGGGAGGAAAAAAACAAACAAAAAAAAAAACAAATTGTGAGTGAGATTGTGTGGAAATTTTTTCCCCCCTCCCTAAACCACACACTTTTAAGTTTCGTTTCGCGGTCCTCCATCTGAACATCTCTGTTCTATCCTGATAAAATAAGTGCTTGTGCACTTTGAATGGACAGAATGCTGTGTTATTTGGGGGGGCTGAAATTAAAATACAGGTGGTTCTCGGCTTCCAACCGTTTGCTTTTTTCATCGTTAGGACCCTTTTTCACAGTTACAGCCGTTGCAGCCTCCCCCGTGATCACAGGATCAAATTCAGACGCTTGGCCACTGACTCGCATTTATGACGGTTGCGGCGTCCCAGGGGAGGTTACGTGAACCCCCTTTTGCGACCGTCTGACAAGCAAAGTCAACGGGGGGGGGAGCCAGATTCACTAACCAGGTTACTAACTCAACAACTGCAGAGATTCATTTAACAATTCTGGCAAAAAGGTTGTAAAAGGGGGCAAAACACATTTAACAATGGTCTCGCTTAGCAACGGAAAATTTTGGGGCTGAGTTGGGGGGTCATAGAAGTTGAGGACTGCCTGCAATTAAAATTCTACCTGTAATTAAAGCCATTTGTCTGAAATGGTATAGGGTTTCCTGCCTGAGCAGGGGGTTGAACTAGATGACCTCCAAGGTCCCTTCCAACTTTATTATTACTATTACTATTACTATTATTATTATTATAGAAAATGATAAAGTTGAACTGCTCTGGGACTTCAGAATTCAAACAGGCAAGCACCTGCAACATAACACCCCGGACTTAACAATTGTAGATAAGAAAGACAAAAAAGTCTGGATAATGGATGTGGCAGTGCCTGCAGACAGCAGAATAGACGAGAAAGAACTGGAGAAGATCACAAAATACAAAGACCTACAAATAGAAATAGAAAGACTGTGGCAAAGGCAAGCAAGGGTAGCACCAATAGTCATAAGCGCCTTGGGTGCAATCTCAAAAAAACTGGAGCACCCCTTGGACACCATCATCGGCATTGACAAATTCGCTATCAGTCAATTGCAAAAGGCGGCCTTCCTAGGAACCGCTTCCATCCTGCGACGAGATCTGTAATACCATCAAACATCCACATCTGCCTATCCCAGGTCCTTGGGAAGGACTCGATAGGCAGACAAAAATGCCAAATCCAGTCTGAACATCTGGCTGACTGTGCGATGATCCATAATAATAATAATAATAATTAATAATCAATAATAATAATAAAGTTGGAAGGGACCTTGGAGGTCATCTAGTCCAACCCCCTGCTCGGGTAGGAAACCCTATACCATTTTGGACAAATGGCTGTCCAGTCTCTTCTTAAAAACTTCCAGTGTTGGAGCATTCACCGCTTCTGGAGGCAGGTGGTTCCACTGGTTAATAGTTTCAGTAAGAGGGGATTATACAAAATTATATATATATATATATATATTTTGCAGAGGCGGCTTAACGAGTCACCTTGCAGTGAGATGGGTGGCAAATTAGCTTAATAAAAGAAACAAATACCGTATATAAAGTTTTAAGACATGTGGACTTCAACGCCCAGAATTCCCCAGTGGGCGTTGAAGTCCACATGGTCTTAAAAGTTGCCCAGGTTAACTCACCTTAGAATTAAAAGAAAAAGATGATTCGGAATTTTATGCGGTTTGGGAAAATTGGTATAATTGGATAGACAATAGAAATAAAAATTGGAAATATACATAAGGTTATTGTGTAGATTAGGTTATTGTGGGTTAGATTGAATGTACATAGTGTATATATTGTATAGAATGTAAATCCATAGTATATAAAAATGACATAGTCTGCTGAATATGTACTGTATAAAAAAAATTTAAAAAAAATAAAATAAAAATAAAGTTGCCCAGGTTGAGAAACATGGATTTAAACCCTCCCCAATGCCATGGAAATGCACCGATAAAACTCTGAAGTGTCTGTTTCAGCAGTTGCAAAATGTTTGTTTTAAAAAAAATGAACGCAAAAGAGAAAGGAATCACGTTTCTTCCGTTCATACAAGATTGCCCTTGTGCGTAATCTTTCTCGAAGCCACCGGAAAAAAGAGAATGGAAAGTCGAGGCATTTCATTTAGGAGCATTGTGGCTTGTTCTGCATCACGTGCGAATCCGGGTTTTGCTGCAATTCAACCCCCTCGCAATGGCTTAGGGTCCTGCGTAAAGCCGGCCAGCTGCGATTTGTTTGTGGGTAAACCAAGCCATGGCTTAGAGCGAGGCGCGAATGTAAGGCTTTTTCCAAGTTTAAACTAAAGTGACCCAGTTTAGAGCTGTCAAAAGTACATCCAGGAATTCCAAACTTGGGATTAGGGGAACTGAATTAAAACAGAAAGTGTTTGGCTACGGACCAAACCAAAGTTTCCGTCTTTGGCTGTGTTCACACAACAGCCAGGTCTGTTAAAATAATAATAATAATAATAATAATAATAATAATTCTCTATTTAGAAAGAAGACTCAATTTATTTCAAAACTTGGGAAAACTTTTATCGATGGCTAGAGACATGTTAGAATATGAATAGAACTTAAAATTGAATTGAATTTTACAATTGAATAG